GAGGTACAGAACTAAACAGACAATTCTCAATAGAGGAATCTAAAATGGCTGAAAGACACATAAGAAAGTGTTCAACAGCCTTAGACATCAGGGAAGTGCAAATCAAAACAACTCTGACATACCATCTTACTCCTGTCAGAATGGCTAAAATCAAAAACACCAATGACAGTTTATGCTGGAGAGGATGTGGAGAAAGAGGAACACTCCTCCACTGCTGGTGGGAGTGCCAACTTGTACAGCCACTTTGGAAATCAGTATGGCGACTCCTCAAGAAAATGAGAATGAGTCTACCAGAAGATCCAGCAATTTCACTCTTAGGCATATACCCAAAAGAAGCACATTCATACAACAAGGACATCTGTTCAACCATGTTCATAGCAGCATTATTTGTAATAGCCAGAAACTGGAAGCAGCCTAGATGCCCCTCAACCAAAGAATGGATAGAGAAAATGTGGTACATTTACACAATGGAGTACTACTCAGCAGAAAAAAACAATGGAATCTTGAAATTTGCAGGAAAATGGATGGAACTCGAAGAAACCATTCTGAGAGAGGTAACCCAGTCACAAAAAAAGACAAACATGATATGTATTCACTCATAAAGCAAAAGATTACCATCCCACAATCCACACTGCCAGAGATACTAGTAAACTAGGAAGACCCTAAAAGAGACAAACTTTGTCCCCTGGAGAAGGGGATAAGGTCACCATCCCCTGAACAAATTGAGAACATAGGAAGAGGGGGGAGGAAGCTACGAGAGTGAGAAGGGAAGAAAAGGAAGGATGCAGAGGTCATGAGGGAGCAGAAAATAGGTAGGATTTTAGTTGGGGGGGTGGTAGAGGAGGAAGGGAGGGAGAAGGGAACTGGGACTGTCATGTAATTCAATCTTGTTTATAATTCAAATATATAAAAAATGAAAAAAATAGAAGGATCTTCTCTTCTAAAATGTCCGATTTTCTATTTGTACATATTTTATACTTTTGGTTGTAAGCCTAGCCTTTAATGGCTGAGTTATCTCTAGCCTTATTTGTAGATTTTTTAATTGACCATCTGAAAGAAACATTGTTTCATAATGACAGTGGTTTGCTCTATTCCTTAAATACCTGGTATCAAGCAAGTTCTCAATTGCTCTTTAATTAACTAAATGAACAGGGAGGAAATGTAAATAAATTCTCTTTAAAAGTAGGATGGATTAAAAAAAAAAAAAAAGTAGGGGGCTGAAGAGATGGCTCAGAGGTTAAGAGCACTGGCTGCTCTTCCAGACGTCCTGAGTTCAAGTCCCAGCAACCATATAGTGGCTACAACCATACATAATGAGATCTGGTGCCCTCTTCTGGCATGCAGGCATATGTGGAGGCAGAATGTTGTATACTTAATAAATAAATAAAATCTTAAAAAAAAAAAAAGTAGGCTGGATGAATGAATGTACTTCCAAACTACTTACAATTTTTTTTTCCAAATACAGGGGGGAAAGATGAAGAAGTTAGGAAAAGGATTATTTCCCAAGTATATTATACATTTCAGCATCTCAAAATAACATTCTAGTAAGTGTTTTGAAATATATCCTATGCTAATAGATATATGAACATACAGACAGGGATATAAGGGTTTCACAATGCCAGGAATTATACCCAGGGCCTCACATGTTAGGCAAGCTGTTTAACACTGACTTACAGTCTAACCCTTATGGTGTTTTAAATATTGTAACCCTTAAAAAGTATTCTGGGAAACAGATTAAAGAAATGGTTCAGCCTTTAAAGGACAAGACTCACAACCAGAAGGCCAAAGAGTACCCTAAGGGAAAAAAAATCACATTGTAAGAATATGCACATAGAAAAGCCATAATGAGGCTGAGAGGGGTGACCCACTCCTTTAATTCCAGCATTCTGGAGGCAGAGGCAGGTGGATTTCTGTGAATTTGGGGTAAACACAGTCTACACAGTTTCAGGCCGTCCAGGGCTAAACTGTGAGACCACCTCAAATTAAAAAAAAACAAAAAAAGTAAGAGGAGCTGGGCATGTGGTGCACACCTTTAATCCTAGTTCGGTAGGCAGAGGCAGGCAAATCTCTGAGTTCCAGACCAGCCTGGTCTACAGAGTGGGTGCCATAACAGCCAGGGCTACACAGGGAAATTCTGTCTCAGAAAACCAAAATAAATAAATAAATGATAAGAGATTAAATTTGTTTAAATGAATGAAGATATGAGAAGTATTTCTATTATAATGATGACTCACCTAATCAATGTACTATATCATTTCACAAGTGAAAATTATATTATTTGATTTCAAAGTAAAATATTACTATTCTTAGAAACTTATAAAAAAGTTAAGAGATTAAATAATAAGGGCTATCAATACTTAGAAAATCTTAACTTCTTCAAGAATGTAGCTCAGATTTTCAAGTTAACAATCAAACTATCACATCCCAGAATCCTAAAACCTTTCCTAGGGTGCTTTAGAAACACCAGGAATTCTGAGGTAAGCTTCTATCTTTGACACCATAGGAAATACCACTAGAGGAAACCAAGAATATGGGATCACAGAAAAACAAAACCCTTTTTTCTTAAGAATTTTATCAACATAGTAGAAAATAAATCACTTAACTTTTTCTGGATGTGGTTAATATTAGTAATCAAAACACAAGGGTCACAATTTGACAAAGGCAGAGTTATCTGGGAAGAAGAATGTCAGTTGAAAGAATGCCTCCATCAAGATTGTCTATAGGAACTCTGAAGGGCATTCTCTTGATTAACACATAGTATGGGAGAGCTCAGCCCACAATGGGTGGCACCATGCCTGGGTAGGTAGTCTGGGGTAGATAAGAAAGCAAACTGAATAAGCCATAGAGAACAAGTTAACAACTGAATCATTTGACTAATTGAACAGTACTTCTCCATGGCCTCTGCTTCAAAACCTGCCTTGAGATCCTGTCCTAACTTTCTTCAGTGACAAGAGTTGAAAGTTGAAATAAATCCTTTCTCCCCAAATTACTTTTGGTCATGGTCTTTTATCACAGCAATAGAAACTTGAGACAGAATAGTGAAAAACATAATAATAACATTTCATACTTATGGAAATGTAATCAAGAAAGAAATGAAAAATTCATAAAAGAATTAGTTAAACAAGAGTCACACAAATAAAACTCTAATCTGTTATTATTCTAGCATACTTTCACTGAAAAGAATGTCTAAGAAAGGAAAAAATACATAAAACTTCACACCTACTTCCACTGCTACCTATTCCAAAACTACTTTTTGTTATTTTAATTAATGGGAATATTAGTATATGCAAGCCTGTTTTGAGCATTTTCCTCAATCATTTAATCCTTAAGATAACATCATTTAGGTACACATGAGTAGATCTGTTACAAATAGGAAAACTGCAGCAGAACAAAATTAGCTAGCTTGCCCAAGAAGTGATCTGAACCCATGGGTTTAGCTTAAGGATCAGTTAATGAAGTTTTAAGTTTCCTAGTACGAAGTCACCTTGTCCATTTTCACATTATCTGCTGGTTGCTTTAGATCTTTCTGGTAAATCTTAGCAGCTACAACAGAGCCTGTTTGAACAATGAAACAATAAACAATAAAAGTACCTTCTAGCCAGCTCTCAAGATCCAAAAGGCTTGTGGTTCCCTACCCTAGCTCCATTTAACAGTAACAGATAATGAAAATATACCTTCCAAAGATTCAATCCCAGTTGCTTGTGCCAGTAAATCTTCATGTCTTGCAACAACCTGAAAAATCAAGGATGAAAAGTCAGCATTAGCTCTGATTACCTATGTCACCACAGGGTATAATAAGGTGTCCCTTGGTATATAAATGAAAAAGATACTACACACACACACATATACACATAAACATGCAAATTATGAGGTATGCTTGAGATGGGTTGTAACAGAAACACATAAATCATATATAGTTCAGTATAGAGCAAAAGGAAATAGTGCTAACTCTGCCTTAGTCTATTTGGAGTACTAACCAAGAACTATAGCATAGATAATACACAAGGATTCATCATCATCATCATCATTCTGAAGGTTGAAGTCCAAGGTCAAGTGTAAGCAACCGTATCCATTCATCATCAGTGGTGCCTCCTGTGTCCTGACATGGAGGAAAGACAAACAACTTCCTATGGGGGCTCTGCCAGTTTAGCACGGTACTAATCATCTCCCCAAAACCCACCTCTCCAACATATGAACTGCAAGGTGAAGAGGGTCAAGGGAAAAAATGTCCTGCCCTTGACTGGACCCAATATCTGGACCAAGGACTTGACCCCAGGACCAGGGTTGAAATCCCACCAATCGCTGAGCTTGCCTTAAAGTCAGGCTGCAGAATCCCTGGGGTTCCTGAACATGAAAATCCACCAATCCCTGAGCACAGAATCCCACCAATCCAAAGTCCCTGTGCACAAACTTCTACCAATCCCTGAGCTTGCCCCAGAATCAGTCTACAAAAATCCACTGATCCCTAGCCATCCTAGAAACACCACCCACACACAAAAAATCCTATATGAGTTCGGTACCCTGTTCAGTTTGCTGCTGTTTCTCACCCAAGGCAGCCACCTTCCTGGATTCTTTCTTTCCAATAAATCTCTTGAGTGAGGTTTTTTGTGTGGTGTGACATTTTCACCAGAGTGGAACACAGCAGTAACAACTTTTGCTAGGTCAGAGAACCATAACACTTGCCCTGAGGAAACTTACCCCTAGCAGAGCAGAGCTGTAACACTTTTGCTGGGGAAACTTCCTTTAACAGCAAAACTGAACACTTCTCAGGCGCAGAGCTATAACAACTTCACTGGGAAAATCCTCCCCTGCCAGAACAGAGCATTCCCTCAGCTGCTATGCTTACAGTGACTTGGTGGTATTCCCTGGCTCCCAACTGCCAGGATACCTTTCCATCCAAGCTGCAATGCTTCCATGAACATATGGAAAAGTATGTGTCTACTATGCATGAGGCCCTGGGTTCAATTCTCAGCAGTTAAAAAGAAAATTCAACATATGAATCTTGAGGAAATGCAAACTTGGGCCATGGCAAACTCCCCACTTTCCTATATAAGTAGAGCAAACAATGATAAAATCCCTGTTGATATGCTTTTGTGTTTGGCCTCTAAAGAATTCTTTCAAAATCAAGTTTTTCTTTATTCTTGAAATTAATTCAGCATCATCAAGGGCACATCCTGAAAACTAAACCGCTCAGTACTTATCCAACCATGAATAGCTCCCAGTGTCACGTTCCCTGTGTAAGTTCCAAGTGGCCAGGACCCAATTCTAAGGACCTGCCAGGTTCTGCCCAAAGAACACTCTAAGGGCCTTAACAGCCTGACTCAGCCCCTTAAGACACAGGTAGCCAAGCTCTGCCCTACAGAGTAAAAAGCCCAAACTCAGGACTTAAAAACCCACCAATCAGCCGGGTGGTGATGGCGCACACCTTTAATTCCGGCACTCAAGAGGCAGAGGCAGGTGGATACCTGTGAGTTCAAGGCCAGCCTGGTCTACAAGACCTAGTTCCAAGACAACCTCCAAAGCCACAGAGAAAGCCTGTCTCAGAAAACCAAAAAATAAGAAAAAAAAAAAAAAAAAAAGGGAACCGCCCCCCCATCCCATCCATGAAAATCTCCACCCTGGAAAACTCCATAACCAAGAAACCCTAAATAAACCTGTCACTTACTCAGTTCTTTGCTGCTTCGCTCTCAAGCAGAGGCAGGTAGCCTCCTGTGTTTCTCCCAATAAATCTCTTCTGTGAGGTTTGTTGTGTACCATGACTTTGTACACTTTGTACACAAAGTTGGCTACTAACTACCAGGATACCTTTCCCCTGAGAGCTATAACACTTACACTGGGAATATACCTTTTCCCTCAAAGCTGTATTGCTTACACGCTGTATCAAAAAAAAAAAAAAAAAAAAAAAAAAAAAAAAAAAAAAAAAATACCCTTTCCCTACAAAAGATTGATATATTTGTGGGAATTAAGGCAGTGTGGATGGCTATAACCAAAACGGGGAAGAGGGGATAAGTTAAAGAGCACATGTAAGAAATTCCTTGGTGCTGGGCATTGGTGGCACAAGCCTTTAATCCCAGCACTCGGGAGAAAGAGGCAGGTGGATCTCTGTGAGTTCGAAACCAGCCTGGTCTCCAAAGTGAGTGCCAGCATAAGCTCCAAAGCTACACAGAGTAACCCTGTCTCGAAAAACCTAAAAAAAAAAAAAAAAAAAAGAAAGAAAGAAAGAAAGAAAGAAAGAAAGAAAAAAAGAAAAGAAATTCCTTGGTACATTAAAAATCATGCAATGGAGCTGAAGAGATGGCTCAGGGGATAAGAGCACTGGTTGCTCTTATAAAGACCCATATTCAATTCCCAGCACCCATATAGAGGCTAACAATTGTCTGTAACTACAGTTCCAGGGAAGCCAAGATCTTCCTTCTTCTGGCCTCCAAATACCAGGCACACACATGGTACATATAAATACATGCAAACAAAACATGTATACACATAAAATAAAGGTAAATAAAATAAAAAGAAAGCATGCAAATACTAGTAATATTGTGGAAATTCTATGATTTTGTACCCTTTCTCAGTGTAAGAAAGCTCTCCATCTAGCCCGTGTACTAAAGTTGCTCATCAGCAAAGAGTCACTCATGGGTGACTTCACTTTGGCCTCTTCTGGAAATCACTGTCATTCTATTGCCTCCTTTACCCTTCATTTTGCACTATTTTTAAATATAAAATTTGTTCTATCAATTCTTTTCCTATGATGACCTCCTCATATAAGTGTTACCTTTATTTTGCCTTTTATCAATAAAGTTGCATGGTGGTTTGAATGAGAATGGCCCCTATAGGTTCATATTTGAATGCTTGGTTCCCAGTTGGTGGAACTGTTTGGAAAGAATTAGGAGGTGTGCCTTATTGGAGGTGTGTCACTAGGGGCAGACATTGAGGTTTCAAGAGCTCATACAATTCTCAGTTAGATTTCTGCCTCTTGCTTGTGGAGCAGATGTAAGCTCCATGCCCTACTGACATGAAGATCATGGACTCTAACCCTCTGGAAGCATGAGCCCCCAAATTAAATGCTTCCTATTATAAATTTCATTGGTCATGGTATTTTGTCATGGCTATAAAAAAAAATAACTGTGATAGGTTGCCATCAGATGACTGAATTTTATCCAGATTATTGATGTAATTATCAATGTACTTTTCTTAACAAGAATAATTTTCTTTTTTCCTTTACCTCTCATGACACTTTGAAAAGGCTGAAAACTAAAAGTTAACTCTTTCACACACTCCATTGTTACCAATTCAGGTGACTTTCCAACACATGTAGGAGACAAAAGAAAGGTGAAAGTGTAAGCCCCTTGAGGTGCAGAGTGTCTAGGCCCCTCCCATGAGGACCTCCAACCACCAGGTTCCAACCACAGAACACTCTAACTGCCCTAACAGCTTCTGTATAAAAAAAAAAAAAAGTAGTAGGTTCAGCTCTCATACGAGAACTCAGAGTCTTTGACCTCACATAGATAGATAGATGGAGAGAGAGAGAGAGAGAGAGAGAGAGAGAGAGAGAGAGAGAGAGAGAAGACAGACTGACTGACTGACAGACATTGTCCTCCCAAGAAGTGTTAACTTTAAATTCTCATCAATTCCTACCAAAGAAACACTGCATGAGAAAAGAAATATACCAAGTGTAAAAGCGACACAAGGGGCTGGAGAGATGACTCAGCAGTAAAGAACACTGACTGTTCTTCCAGAGGTCCTGAATTCAATTTCCACAAGTGGCTCACAAACCACTTGTAATGAGACGTGGTGCCCACTTCTGAGACAAAATTTCTCAGATAGTTTAAGGACATTGATCTCTTCTCTGTAAAAACACCTTGTACCATTCTGTAAAAAAGAGGTTTCACTTGACAGTTATTTCTGTCTGGATCTGTCACTAATCTTTAGAGTCTTTGGAGAACCAAGGAATGTGTTCTCATTTCTCTACTCCACAGCCATACACAAAGCCTGACATTAAGTGTCTTCTAAATGTTTGTATTCTAAACATGTAATCAGGATTTAAAGTTGAAATGACCTTATAAGTCATCACAATTCTTCTAAGCTGTTCTTTTCATTAACAAAGAAACTCAGATACAAAAAATTAAATGAGAATGTCTCGTGATATGCAGATCTAAATTTCCTGGCAAACAGTTCATTTATTTACAAACTTTTTCATTCATCTAAGTATTTCTTCAATAACTACTCAGACAAAAAAACAACGTAAGTATTTTGGGAGCTGGGGATAGGGTAGGGTGCTTGTCTGGCATTGCAAGTCCCTGTGTCCAATCCCCAGTGCTACAAAACAAACAAACCAGCAAAGAAGTAGATCAGAGGGTAACCCTATAATAGTTATCAATTATAGAAGAAGAAACCTTTAAGTTTATCTACAGCAATATCTTCTTAGTCAGTAAAGGTCATAATTTTTTTTAAAGACTCAAAGAAATGAAGTGGTAAGAAAGTCAATTGTAACACCACACCTAAACTTGGGACCTATCTCCTAATGCTTTTATGTGCTCACCTATCACAACATTTACTGAGTTCCTATAATTTCAGCAAATGTTATACTTTGTACTTAACAAAGTAGAAACACTTCCTGTGTGACATCCCAATTTTACTTATTCAAATTGTTCTACTTCCAAAACTCCATTCCATTTTGTTATCATTATCAAAGGTGTCTTTTTTTTTTTTTTTTGCCCAAAACATTTACTGTGAAATAATAGTAACAACAATAATTCTTCAGGTAATAAGCAGACAGAGCAAATAAACGATTCCAGAAAGGTAGATCAATTTGTTTGCAACTAATAAAAAGCAGTTTACAGAAAACACCACAAAAATGTAATTAAGTGAGGTTGGTAAGTTAAGCATCTGTTTATGGAAATAGACATTTAGTTTTAACAATGATGAGATGACAAAAGGGATAAACTGTCACTTTCTGCTAATAATCTCTATGACCCAGAAGATTGAGGTTACCTGTAGGTGTAGTTCTTTATCCAACTGACTGATCCCTTGGGCAAGTTTTGCTAGTTGCTCAGCAATTACAGCTTGATGAATAGATTGAGAAGTATAAACTTTTACATCAAAATCTTCATTTAAAAAGTCACCATAACAGTCTAGAAAAAAACATAAAGGAAAACTTATCGATTCTGCAGTAGACCAGTTATCAAACAATCGATCGATTATAATCATATTAGCATGTTTTGAGACCTTCTACGAACTAGGAACTGTTGAAGATGCTACCTAGAACAATGAGGAAAAGAAGGAGGCTGCAGAAGAATACAATGTTCCAGCCGGGCGTTGGTGGCACACACCTTTCGTCCCAGCACTCGGGAGGCAGAGGTAGGTGGATCTGTGTGAGTTTGAGGCCAGCCTGGTCTACAGAGAGACTTCCAGGACAGCCTCCAAAGCTATACAGAGAAACCCTGTCTTGAAAAACAAAAAACAAAAAAAAACTACAATGTTCCAGGTGCTGATCTAAATCCAAGTTCTGACTCCTCCTTCAATCTCCACACAGTCCTGATGTGTGGGAAAACATCATTTCCCCATGTCACAGGTGCAGATAAGTCATGCAATTTGTCCAATGTTACTATCTGGGATTCTAATATAGAAAGTATAGATGCTGAGTCCTGGGGTCTTAACCACTCTGCTGTTTCTTTTTTGTTATTGTCATTTTGTTTTTCTTTTTGGTTTTTCATTTAAAGGTTTATGGATTTCATAAACAATATATATGTATATTTAAAAAATGTACATCATGATTTCTTTTTCCAATCTATTTGAACACATTTTTTTATATCTATTTTACCTTTAAGTCTTTTTTTCTTTTTTAGATTTATTTATCATGTGTATACAGTGGGCTGTCTGCATGTATTCCTGCAAGTCAGAAAAGGGCACCAGATTTCACTACAGATGGTTGTGAACCACTATGTGGTTACTGGGAATAGAACTCAGGCCCTTTATAAAAGCAGGCAGTGCTCATAATTGCAGAGCCATCTCTCCAGCCCCTACATTTAAGTCTTAAATTTCAAGACTACCTTTTAGTTTGTAGGTGCCTGTTTCTATTCAAATTTAGATTCAATTTTTATAACAGTATTTATCACTGATCTAGAGATATCTGAAGCAATAAATATTATCAGCAGTCAGTTTTTCTTAAGCATTGTACCTAGCAACAATCTCACTTTCTTGGAATAAAGGTTAAAGTTGATAGTTGTGATTTTAATCTTCTATTCAGTGTTTTCCTTCCTTGTGATTCACCTGTATTTTTTCAGTATATATTCTTACAATACACACTCCACCAAGGGAAGCTGTTTGTTCTGTTCACTACCACATCTCTATGGCCACACAATGGCAGGTACTCAATATTGGTTGGATGAATTAATATATATGTCTGAAAGTATCACTGTGCTTAGAGCAAAACAGTCTTAATTATTCTCATAGTTTAATGACTCTCAAACTGAAGTAACAGAAGAAACCTACTTTGACCTTAATTGTGAAAATTACGTTTTCTCCCAGTTTGCCAAGTTTTTCTCAGAATTAAGAAGCCTACCAGACAAATGTAGCAGTCATTCCACACAGAAAGTTCACCACAAGCAAATGTCAAAATGGCATGTTTTCACAAGGGTAACAATACATTTAGTAAAACTAGATGACAGAACTATGTCTTAAGCAGAAAATATAAAGGAAAAACAAAGTTTCACAGGAAGGCTGGAGGGCAGTTTGATAAAAATGCCTGTAAAATGTGCAAAATATTCAACTTATATACTATTGATAGTTCCAAAGCCAAACAAGAACATTTTCAGTTTTGTATTCTGTAACAATAATTCTAGCAAGAACAGAGAATAGCTAAAATGGAATTTGTTATACAGCAATGTGCTTGAATTAGTATCTACTAGATTTTAGCAGCTACCTATAACATGTTGAGGAGTTCTTTGAGCCAGATGATATTATATGTAGGTGCCTTTAAACCAGCTGGGGATAAGGGTATTTACAACATGAAATACACAAATATCAACAAAACCAGGCCTTTTCTTATTTTCCAAGAAAGCTGGTTGACTAATACGTCTCATAAAGTAAAACCAGAGGGTTCAGAAAAGGACAGCACTGTGTTAACAGCTCAAGTGAAATAAACAAGATCCAAATAACAGAATATCACTTAAGAATGTCAGGCACACAGGGTGGTAGTGACACATGCCCTTTAGTCCCAGCACTCAGGAGGCAGAGGCAGGCAGATCTCTGTGAGTTCATAGCCAGCCTGGTCTACACATCAAGTTCCAGAACAGGCTCCAAAGCTACAGAGAAACCCTGTCTCCAAACCACCCCCTCCCCAAAAAAAAATGTTAAGCTTGTGAAGTATTTCAAAAATGTTTGGACATGATAATGAATAAGACTTGATAAGCTGAAATGGTGATTAAGTACAATAAATCAAAGATATTTCCAAAGTATCTTTGTTTAATTAGTGGAATATTCTTTATCTGATATAAGGAACTCAATTCTGCATTAAGCTGGAGATCCTAGGCTTTAAATATACAAAAGGTGAGACGCAAACTGCCTCCAAGTGCCTCACTACCTAAGAAACTATCAACATTCAGTTGCCAAAACACCAATAGTAAGTAGTAACAGTGACAATCAGGAAAAAAGACCCAAGACTGGGAAAAACTTTACTTTGCTTAATGTTTTCATAGAATATGTTCTATTTGTTCATATGTTGTTTACTATCAAGACAGGAATTCCAGTAGGCAGCTAAAAATATAGTTCTATTATTTAGAAGAGAAGTAAGGATAACTTGCTTTTCTGTTGTGATAAAACAGTGATCCATGTAGAAGGAAAGGTTTATTTTAGCTTACAGGTAATAGTTCATCATCAAGAAAAGCAAAGATAGTGGCACACACCTTTAATCCCAGCACTCGGGAGGCAGAGGCAGACAGATCTCTGTGAGTCTGAGACCAGCCTGGTCTACAAGAGCTAGTTCCAGGACAGCCTCCAAAGCCACAGAGAAACCCTGTCTCAAAAAAACCAAAAAGAAAAAGAAAAGAAAAAAAAAGAAACCTCAATGAGATCAATGGATGATCCAGTGAGATGAACTAAAGCAGAAACAATAAAAGAACATTGATTAATAGCTTGCTCCCCGGGCTTTATCAGCTACCTTTCTTATTTAATGTTCTTCTGTCTAGGGATGGCACGACCCAGATCGAGCTGGACATTCCTGCATCAACTAGCAAATAAGAAAATGTACCAAATTGTGGCCTTGTTGTTGTCTGGGGGCCTTGCTGCAATCAGGGCCATACAGATCTGGGTGGCCTGCACTGCTATCCAATGTGATGATGTCCAGGCCAGAGCTGCAGTTGTGGACCATGTCTGGGTCTGTGGCCTTACTGTGGCCAGGGTCCATACTGATGTCCAAGGCTCCTGTTGCCATCAAAGGCCATGTTGATGCCCCAGGTCTGGGTCCATGTTAGTGTCCGAGGGTCGAGATGCCTCTGGGGACAATGTCCATTTGAGTGGCCTACACTAACACCTGGGACAACAGTTAACATCCAGATCCAGCTGCTGCTAAGGACTATGTCTGGGTCCATGGTACAGTTGTAAATAGGGTCGGTATTGATGTCTGTGGCCTGTGCCACCACAGAGGGGGCCATAAGAACCATGCATGATGAAATGAGAGGGCCATGCTGAGCCAGCCACGCTCCTTGCAGGCACTACCTCTCTTTGGACACTGAAGAAAGAAGCTGGCACCCCCTACCTCCCCAATCCCTGGCCCCACACTTAGGAGAGCCAGTCCCACCCCTCACCACAGGAGAGGGAGAACTGCCCCTGATGGCATGGACACAGAGAAGCAGACTCTGCCCCCTAACCTAAGGTGGTTGGCCCCAGTGGCCGGGACTGACCAGCGTGGCTATCACCCAGGCTCATAGCACGGCCTTGGGTTGTCCAACCTAACATCTACCCCATCTAGGATCTCCTGGAGCCTGTGAAGGAACTGGTGCTGGGGAACAATACCCACAGGATTTCCAAAGAATATCCCAAAGGAACTTCAGTGAGGATGGTGTACCAGAAACCAGAGGCCTTGAACCAGACCAGTGACTCACTGTAATGAACATCTGCTTGTAGGGGATGCTGCAGCCACACATGCTTAAGAGCTAGCTACAGGTGTGCCCGACCACACCTCTGAGGGCATGGTCAGGGTGACTGACGTAGGGAGGTTGAAGAGGGAGGGACGCTTATGTGGTGGCCTGCTTTTGGTTTCATCTTCAGCCTGCTGTACTTACTGCTGCCCGCCGGTTGGCTAGGTCGCTCTGTAAGGCTTTTCCCTATTGAATTCCCTTGTATTTTTACCTGGCTCTATATTGGTAATTTCCGACATTATCTGGTTGTCAGAAAGGGGATCTTGTAAACATAGGCACTGTTTGGGAGAGCCCTCGGGTTCCACCAGGATGGCAGACTAGGCCGGGAAAGTACTCCCTGTCTCCACAGGTGTTCCCGGCTCGCAGCCAACCCACTGCGCCAAACAAGTGCATCCCTGCTGCCACTGAGCAGCTCAGAACCGTCCGCCCAGCTGGGAGACTTCCACAGACGTCCCAATGGTTACTGTCGAAGTTTCTAGATGCATGCATGAGACCTGCTCAGATTTCGGCCTACTAGCACAGGGAGGCCTCCTGGCCTTGAGCTGAGTAGGCCTCAGGAGTAGGCCTTGGCTTTCAGGAGGGTCCGTGGCTTCCTCTGGCCATGGCAGCCATAAAGTTAGACCTCTTTCAGTGGTTGTGGCCGCAAAGCCATACACATTCTAAGCCACCTGTGTGGCCTCCACCACCACCACCACCACAATCTTGCCTGACCCACCAGTGCCAAAAGCCGCATGGACTAAGTGAACACCTGCTCCACCTGCTGGTCAAAGATAGCTACTGCAGCTGGAGTAGAAATCAGGTAAAATCATGGTAGAATATTTACCATTTGCTAAAATTAGTAATAATTCTGCTTATTACATAAATTCAATGTTTGAGGAGGATGATAATCTGCCAATTACCGATCTATATGCATCAATGGTAGTTAGGTAGTTATCAATGGTAGTTAGTTATACAGGTACAAATAATATTACTAGACAGAGGTCTCAGGAACAGGG